AAAGGTAACAGCAGTTTACGAATAACATCTCAAAAGAGAAAGAAGATCACTTGGGCATCCAGAGAAGAGAACAAGCAGACAGTACACAAGACCCCTCCTCTCCCCAGACATATGTGAGCACAGTCATCTTCAGAGGCTCAGAAGATCCTGAGATGAAGCATCTGAGACTTGCACTGGTGCCATCCGTAGTAGCACCTGTTGTGACACCTCCTCACCAAAGCCATGTATACAATGACAAACAGGTTTGAGTCATCTCCTTTCTCCCAACTGGCTCATTCCTTTTAAATGTAGAAGTGTCAGCAGTCGGGATCTTCCTTCAAAGAGTACAGATGATCACTTTCCTGAGCTGCCTGGGTTAAGCTCTCAGCCTTTTTGTAAATCCTACAGGAGATCAAGTGAAGAGTTCATTCCTTTCCCTCTGAACACTGAAATCTGATGAAAACACAGTTTCTCAAGAAAATGAGAAATTCTTTATGTGCTCTTGTTGGAAGAATGGAGGTCTACACTGCAAATCAACAGGCAACTAAAGAGACAGCACTGTGTCACTCTTCAGTGTTTTCTCCTTGACACCTCAGTGTCCAGCCGAGAGTTGCACGCTGAGGGCATAAAATCATAGAATGGCCTGGGTTGAAAAGAACCACAATGATCATCTAGTTTAAACTCCATTGCTATCTGCAGGGCCACCGAACACCAGACCAGGCTGCCCAGAGCCACATCCAGCCTGGCTTTGAATGCCTCCAGGGATGGGGCATCCACAACCTCCTTGGGCAACCTGTTCCAGTGTGTCACCACCCTCTGAGTGAAAAACTTCCTTCTAATATCTAACCTAAACCTCCCCTGTCTCAGTTTAAAACCATTCCCCCTTGTCCTATCTCTATCCACCCTTGTAAACAGCTGTTCTCTCTCCTGTTTATACGCTCCCTTCAAATATTGGAACGCCATGATGAGGTCTCCCCGGAGCCTTCAGGGCAGGCTAAGCCTCAATTTATTTTCCAGCATGGATCACCAACATACACAGTCTTACCACCAAGCAACTTAAAATCCAACATCCCTGGGCATCCTGATCTAGTACCTGGCAACCCTGCCCACAGCAGGAGAGCTGGAGCTAGATGATCTTTGAGGTCCCTCCAACCTAAGCCATTCTATGCTTTTATGACAGTTACCACGACCTCACAGAGGAGCTACTCTGCATATCTGGGTTCTCTGGGACCACAATTTCTTTGGTTAGGGGTCCAGAGGAGGACAAAGGATACAATGAGTTGTGACAGGGGAAGGTCAGGCTGGGTGTCATGACAAGCATCCTCACCAGAAGGTGGTGAGCATGGAACATGCACCCCACCGCATTGTCATGGCCCCAAGCTGCTGGATTTCACGAGCATTTGGATAACACTCTCAGACTGGATTTTAGCTAGTTCTGTGTGGAGCCAGAAATTGGTCTCAGTGATACTTACACGCCACCTCTAACTCAGGATATGCTCTGACTCCAAGATCCCTGCTCTCATCTCTTACAACACTCCCTCTGCCACAATGACTCCACTATCTTGCTCTGTATCAACATATATCCATGGATGTTTTGCCACCACATCTTCAATTCCCACTCATTTTTCAATTCCCTCTCCAAAGTATCCTTCCAAGTACCAGACAAGCAGCAAGCAGCACAGATGAATAATCTAGACCTATACACTTACTGACTGGTTGACTGGATGCACTAACCATTCAACTGAATGATCCCACAAAAAATAGGTAATTGTTGAATTTTCCTCTGTTTTCCTTGTGGACATTGAGATATTAAGCTCTTATGTGCTTCATGAACAAGTTCACTGATGGTTGGGTGGAGAAGAAAAGCCCAGATCAGTGATCTGTACTCTTCTCTCTGATGTGATTAACTCAGCCAACCTACTAAAGTGGAAAAAGCATAAAGACACCAACAGGAGAAAGCCTTAAAGGAAGTGAGAGACTTCAGACTTTCAAAAGATAAATTCCACTTCTGAAAACAACCTAACAGTGCTCATTTGTTCTCACTTTCATACCCTGGACCCACACGCTGTGTTTGTATTTAATTTTCTGGTTCACCAAGTAGAAAAATAACCCATTCCTCAGGCTTCTCCTTTTATTCATGCACTTGGTCAGAACCAAGCTGAACATGCTGATATGTCATTAAAGGTTTCAGGTACTCCTAGTTCTGGTTTGTACAATAATGGGCACTCCACTCTCTGCACCATGGGCAATGTCACTGCCCAGAATAATCTACCTTTGGTATCACACACCAAACAAGGTCCCATCATACCAGCCAAGGTTATTCCACGCTATGATGGCTCAATCTCTCTTCAGCTACGGATGCAGGCAAGATTAATCAAACCCACAGAGTTAAAAATTAAGAATTGTTTGAGTTGGAAAGGGACCATTAAAGACCATCTAGTCCAACTCCCCTGCAATAAATAGGGTCACCTACAGGTAGATCAGGGAGCTCAGAGCCCCATCCAGCCTGATCTTGAATGTCTCCGTGGATGGGGAAACCCATCCACCACCTCTCTGGGCAACCTGTTCCAATGCTTCATCACCGTTAGCATAAAAAATTTCTTCCAGTCGTATTCAATCTAAATCTCCCCTCTTTTAGTATGAAACCATTTCCCTTTGTCCTGTCACAACAGGGCTTGCTAAAAAGTCTGTTCCCATTTTTCTTATAGCCCTCCTTCAGACACTAAAACCCTTCCACAGCTCTTCTAGCCAAACACCAAGTCCCTTTCATTTTGAACAAATCAAACGATGGAATTGGCTCACCACACAAACATACGGATGCCAATACTGGCAATAAAAGAGGGTGAAGGCAATGGAAGCCTTTAAGAAAAATACAAAAAAAAAAATAATCTTATATTGGCTTAAAGTGATGTGAAACTGCACCTTTGAGCTGCGCCTCCACGATGCATTAGCTCCGACAAGGGAGATAAGTTAGGACCTTCCCACACTGCTCCTTCCCTGCCCCACACCACGCTTGGCTCTCCACTCTCCCTCTAATTCAGCAGCCAGCAGCTCATGCTGTAAATCAGATCAATGAAACATTCAGTTAAAAATAACAGCCAAAACCTCCTCCATTGCGGGAGCGCCTTTAGTATAATAAATGATGAAAGCATGCTGCTAAAAAAAGCAAGCTGAGCTGAGAGAGATTTCTGAAGAAAAGGTGGCAAGAGCAGCACCAAGCCCAGCCAGCAGAAAAAGGACAGACAGAGAATAAAACTGAAATCAAACCTCTGGCTGAGGCCCTACACATCCATAAGAAGGAGGAACTGATCCATACTGACCTGCAGCTCAGCAGTGTGTTCCAGATACACACTAAGACCTTTGTTGTTTCCCAGCAGAACCATGACTAAATACCAAATTAAATTAATAATGACCCAAATTAACTGTTCAGTGTCAGTAATCACGGTAGTTCAATGTCCTGCTCCCACCATGACAGTGCTGTGGGTCCACTATCTGGGTTGGGATGCTCCAAGCTCTACCAGGTGACCAGAATAACCCTGATATATAACCCTGCATCTCTCAACAGTGGTCACGTGGCTTGAAGAGGATCACCTGGCCTTTTTAGCTCTGCATGGACAAGTCACAAGAGCAGGACATCCCGGGAAAACTATTAATCTCCCATTGGGAGAAAGCCCTTGGGCATCTCATACATTATTTATGCATCACAGTTGAGAAAAAAAGTTTTTTACAACCATTTTCATGATGCTGAGAAACATGAGGTCTTTTTGGCGTTTGGTTTTCTTTTTTTTTTTTTTTTAGGTCTTTTTTTACCTCTTGTTCCTGCAACATCTTTGGCCAGCTCAGCTTTACCATAAATACAGGATGTATGGCAATGCATTCCTCTAGGACACGTGCTGCAGCTTCTCAGCTGCTTCCCATCCTATTTCCATCTCAGCTTTTTCCAATGCCAAGATGCAAACCTGTAGCTGCAGCTTTTAATGCCTTTTACAAACATGTAATTCACTCTGTATTTCATTTCATTTTCCGAACAGCAGCAATAGCAAGTTTACTGAACTGGCTAATACATAATGACACCATCTCCACAGCAAAGGAAAGGCAATACAGATGGAATGAGAAGTACAGAGTGGACACAGCATCCCACCTGAGTTATAGAATCAAAGAATCATTGAATCACTAAGGTTGGAAAAGATCTCTGAGATCATCTAATCCAACTACCAACCCACCACCACCATGCTCACTAACCATATTTCTCACTGCCACATCTATACATTTTTTGAACACCTTCAGGAATGATGACTCCATCACCTCCCATGAAGTGGTTTGGAATGATGCAACACCTTTTCTTTCAGGCTTTTGTTAATTCTCACACTGGAAGCCACAGACCTCCCATATTCAAATCAAACTCAATGTTAAAAAAGAGGGATTGAAAAATATATTAAAATTGCACTCTTAAGGTATGTCATGCAGCATTTTTCAAACAAATATCAAAAGCTATTTCAGTACAGGGTTTCCACTTACTTGCAGTCTTTACACAACTAAAAAGTTTAATCTCTTCCACATATTTTAACTTAATTGCACAGAGAAATTCACCAGCATAGGACACTGCCAATAACCCTGCAGTCCACATCTCTGCAGTTTGCCAGGCTGCAGACTCCCTAAAGCCACCCTTCTGCAACATAAGATTTCCTCTGGACCTACTATTCAAAAAGTCTCCAGCCAGCCTTTGCTTCCACCCTCCAAACTGCAAGAATTCATCAACACAAATTAAATTCAAGCTACCCACGTCAGGAAACATCCTTCTTTTCCTGTGCTTACACAGCTTTTACCTTCCAGTATCTTATATCCTACAGCTCATACTCAATGACTACCAGCTGGACCTTCAATAGCAGAACATATTTTTGTACAGCTCTACTCTATGTGCAAGTAAGAGCTTTCCAATCAGATATTAGCATTCAGTGTCTTCTCTGTCATTCCTACAGCACGCTGCAATACATCTTCATCAGGTTCTTGCTTCAGCTCACCATGATGGGGTATGGCTCATTTTGGGGACAGCTTCCAGGCACAGTCTCTCAGCTGACTCTTACAGACCACTGCTGTGCCAAGTCCAGATACTGCCAGAAATCACATGCACTAAAAGAAAAAAAACATGCACATAATCCACCTCTTTTCTAAAAATGGTCACAAACAGGTAGGTGGATGGCTGGACTTGATGATCATAGAGGTCTTTTCAACCTTAATGATCCTATGATTCTAACACTGAACAAGATGCAATATACACTGTATTTTAGTCGACGTGTGACTATGTCAGAGCCAAAGCAAGGTGATTCTAGTCCACAACATTCCTGATTCACCAAGAAGGTGCAGAACCTTGGAACCCAAACTTAGAAGGTAGTAAGTGTAACACAGCATCAAATTGCCCCATTTGCTTCATATTAAATAGACAGGACAGAGGTGCTCATGCTGAAAAAATTCTCAGCAATTCATGCAATCTGTATTGAATTGCTAGGTTTGCACAAACTCTGTAATACAGTATTGTGTATCTGGGAGAAACAGAGACAAGGCACGCTCAGCACCTGCCTCCATAGCACCCTACTGCTGGAAAATTAAGAGAAAAGAATCTTGGTTTAATGGAGTGTTATTCTGATTCAGTATAGCACAGAAAGAGATGGATTTGCATCATTTAGTTTTTAACCCTCCAGTAGATTAAATTTAAAAAAAAAAAAAACCAACACAAACATAACAAGATACAACAGCAATTATGAAGAGGGTGGCCAGAAATTGGTGCTACATTTATCACGGGAAGCTGGTTGGGGAGTTCCCCTGAACCAGCTCATACCATTGATGAAGGCATTTCTTTGCATCAGCCTGCTGCAATACACAGATAAACCACAGCTGCACTGCATGCATAAATTGCGCTTAGATACATAAATCTTAACAAAGTGGCTTCTTATTTTGAGGCAAAACCAGAAAGAATTGTAAGTTGCATTAAAGATTTGCTTTTCCACCCTCTTCTCAATCGTCTGGAAGATCAATTGAAGTGATTTTGCATGAAACAGGCGAAGACGAGCGCTTTCCAAAATAAATAAATAAATAAATACCTTTTAATGATTTCCATAGGAGATGAGCATAGCTGTTTAAGGATTCACAAAGCAAAAACGAAGAAAAGGCTTAACCATCCATCTCAGAAGAAACAAAACACTTTTCTGAAGCCTTCCATCACTTGCAAAGTTTTGAGTGCTCAAATACAAATATTAGAAACACGCCACAACAAGCTGAATTGTTTCCCTTCAACACAAGAATACTGTGAATCCCTCCTCTGCATACACACATTTGCTGTCTCCACTGCTCTTCTATTTGCAAAGATTTGAAAAAGAAACTACGAGAAGATCTGTGGTGATTTTAATACATTCCTTCCCTTCTGAAAAATTCTTGCTCATCTGGGTACCAGGAATCACACAGTCCTGCAACACCGTGAAACCATGGAACACGAGCATAAGACCTCTGCATGCTGACCATCAATGTGACTCACAGGAATAAATCTTGGCACTGCAAGGGCATCTTTGAGTTCAACTGGTTCCCTATTTCCCAAGCTTAATGGACAATGGAAGGAAGGGTTGAAGGATCACCCCACCAAGCAACCTGAAGACCTACTTTCTGCTTCCTAACACTGCTCCATATGACTCCTTGCAAAGCATTCTCATCAGAAACACTTCACAGGATCACAGAACTGTCCGAATTGGAAGGAATCCTTAAAGACCATTTACACTAACTCTCCTGCAGTGAACAAGGACATCTACAGCTACACCAGGGTGCTCATAGTCCCATTCAACTGACCTTGAACATCTCCAGGGATGGAGCATTCACAACCTCTCTGGGCAACTTGTTCCAGGGCCTCATACCCTCACTGTGAAAGACATTTTATGTATATCCAGTCTAAATCTCTCCTTTTTTCATTTGAAACCGTATCCCCTTGTCCTATCACAACAGACTCTGCTAAAGAACCTGCCCCTTTCTTACAGCCTCACTTTAGATACTGAAAGGCCACTCTCAGATCTCCCTGGAACCTTCTTTTCTCCAGGCTGAAAAGCTCCAGCTCTCTCAGCCTGTCCTTGAAGGGGAGGTGACCCATCCCTTCGATCATTTCTGTAGCCCTCCTCTGGACATGCTTCAAAGAGTCCATGTCTCTCCTGTACTGAGGGCTCCACTTCCGGATGCAGTACTGCAGGTGAGATAGCAGCAAAGCATTATACCATCATGCCATGATCAATACAGAGGACCTCTCCAAGACCAAGTAATTGGACAGCAGTTTTGAGGAATTCTCTCTCCTTATTCCCAGAGTGGAGTGCTTGAGTATTCTTCCACTTTACTCTGGCAATGTCAAGTCATCAGGCTGATTTCCAGCAATGCGCTCTGAAAAGGAAATCTCAGCACTAGGCTAAGCTGTGAAAGAGTACAATAATCTTCATCACACCAAAGTGCAGGACAGCTGGCAGGAAAGAGAAACCACTACTCTACTCAGTTGAAACAGGAAAAAATATCCTGCAGTATTAAAAATAAAATAAAACAGAACACAAATTTAAAAGCTACAAGGCGAGTAATTCATTTGGGCAACACACATTGCCAATATTCTGTGTGAATTGTTTAAGTTGAAGGTTCACAGTTTAATCAGAACCACTGGGAAAAAAAATAAACAGAAATGCTAAGGTCAGAAGCACACAGTTTATCCTGAGTAAACAAAATAGGTTTCTCAGTCAAGGGACTTCCATTTGAAATTAAAAAAAATATATGCTGCAGTTTGTCCACTGTCCAGTAAGGGGAGTTGGTGCCTAGAGCTTCAAGTCAACCGCGCATATGCAGTTTTGGGTGGAGAAAATGCAAATAAACTATTCTGAAGCACTGACATTTAGACCATGCTGTTAGTTGCCAGAAGATGAGAGAGGCAGATAGACATATGCAGAAAACCCACTAAACCAAAGGGCTGGAAAAGGGAAAGGAACCAAGAGAAAATGCAGTAGAAGAAAGGCATGATTTTTCTTGGGAATGGGTCTTTATCTCCCTGTGAGGCTTTACGGAGAGAATATGAAGGTCATCCATTCGGAAGCAGAAAGGCAAAGGGCAAATGATATCCTAAGCTCCATCTTGATTTGGTAAGAAGAGAGAAATCTCAGTGTGTTTCTGAATATGATACTCTTGTGGTAGCACTGAATCACAGAATGGATGAGGCTGGAAGGGATAGCTTGGGATCATCTAAGTCCAATTCCTCCAGCAGCCTCGAGGGGACATGGAGGAGGGTATCACACATCTTGGGGAAGACAGTGGAGGAGCAGCAGCAAGAGGTAATCAGACTACTCACCAAGTCCCATTGCTAGAAACATAAATAGAGAAAAATAATACAAAAAGCAGCACTCAAACCCTCTTGCAAGGAGTGGGATTTAATAATATCATATGGTATCTAAAAGAAAATGTCAGCAGTAGGAACTCATTAAGCATTGTATGGGGAAAAGCAGCAAAAATCAGTACAGCATCTACACCCATGCTGAGCTCACCAAGGGAAACCAGGCCGCCACTGGCTACAGCATTGCAGAGAGGAGCCCTCAATGCTTATGTTCCTTTTTGCAGTTAATCTCATTAACCTTGTATTCACTCTATTGTTGGTGATTACTCAGGACACTAATAGGCATACTTTTCCATACTGTTTACTCAACATTACAAAGCTGTATATGAAATGGGGCTGGAACAAGCCAATTCTCCCCATGCTACGGAAAACAGAAGTAAAGAAAGAAAATCCTTGTTACAGAGATTTGTTGCAAAGATCATGATTTCCAGAGGAAGAATTAAGTGCAAATTATCCAAGTGATTCAGAAAAAAAAAAATCTATAAAACCCTTCTTTATATTTTCCCTCATTTCTGAACTGTTTTATGGAGGAGGAATTGACACACACACTAAAAACTCCCAAGAAAAGATTGATGCCCTACTATTAAGCTAGAGTAGGTGAAATAACTGTTCTAGCCATGATACAAATTACCACAATGGTATTCCAGGTGGGAAAAACAGATGTAGTTTAAGGAAACTACTTCTGCTGCTAAAAACTCTAAAGGTTTTACAAATACAGCCTGTTACGTCCTGAAAAATGAAACTCTCACTGCCCATCTGTTCCTAGCAGTGAGCATCTATTAGCACTCACTTTGGCCAGAAAGCCAACTCAAAGTCAGCGAATGCGTGATGAGTGCCATCCCAGAGCTTAATGAAGCAGCCAAGTCAGACATGATCAGCCAAGAAGGAAGGGAAGCTGGATGGAGTTTTTTTTTTCTCTCCAATATCAACAAATCGAATCAGTGAACTTATTCCAGAAGCATAAGATGCCATCCAGAAGCAAACACATCCTGAGCCCACTACTCTAACCCATTCCAAAGTCTGGGTCAACAAAATACAGCACCACTGCCAATGAGTTCAGGAGATATAGAGGAAAGCAACCAAACCAAACCACCTGAAACAGCAAGGGTTGTCACTCAAAGAAAACAACAGATAACTCACCCACACTTCTATTCCCTCGCGATGTGGAGCCACTGGTTTGGCACAAGGCAGCAGAGGCACAACAGACCAAAAGCTTGTTGTCTCAGTGGCTTCTCTGTGTAGGGAAAAAGGAAGAAGTGAAAATGAGAAGGAAAAACACATACGGGCTTCTATCTGCTCCATTTCCCCCAGTATGAAGTCAAGTATTCCCAAGACCAAGGGTATTAGCTACATCTTTAGATTCAAACTCTGCTTCAGGGCTTTCACAGCCCCTGAATTTGTTAAAGAACAACAACAAAAACTTCTGAAAGATTACATTTTGGTTTGCACAATCTTTCTGACAACAATGTAGCATGAATATTAAAAAAAAAGAAAAAGAAAAAAAGGGGGAAAGAAAACCACTCTTCCACCTGGGTTTCAGAATGCCATGATGTCCAGCGAGAAACAGCTGGAAACATTCTGCAATTTGTGACTTCAGATAATCATAGAATCATTGAGACTGGAAAAGGCCTTTAACAATACCTAGTCCAACCATTAACACATCACCACCATACCCACTAAAGCACGTTTCACAAATAATGTTGTTTCCCTGCTAATGTTGTTTCCTTATGAGGTATGAGATCACACCTCATATTCTATCTTCAGCTGTTAAACAGGATGCATGGGCATTTTACCTATATTTTACATTACAAAAAGAAAAGGCCATGCAACTAATGAGACTGCTGAACTGCCATCCCAGCTGGGACAACCAGCAGGACCCAGCAGTAGAAGAGGTCTCAGCACTGAGGAACAAAATTCACGCCAAGACAGGGGAACAGAAAGCTGTACAGAGGTCTAATGCATGCCAGATAATCTGGTTATAAAGCAGAATACTGAAAAATCATTTATAAGCAGCCACTTCAGAGGAAAAATTATTACTTTTGGGGAGATTACGCATGTAAGAGTCTAGGTGCACACCCACGTGCACAGAGCAAAGGCAGGGGTAATGCAGCCACATAAACAAATACACAGCTGGTATTTTAGAACAGCATCCATAAAGATCTAATTGCTCTCCTAATTGCTATAGTGCCTTTTTTTTGTCTCAAATTCAAATGGAATTTAACACGTTTCAATGAAATTTCTTATGCTTAAAGAAAAAAAAAAAAAAAAAAAGCTTCATGCACCCTGCAGAGTGTTTTGTCCTTACTGGTTCACAGAATCATAGGATATCCCTAGTTTGAAGGGACCTACATAATCGAGCCTGGCTCCACACATGTCCACCCGAAGTTCAGACCATATGTTGGACGGAAAAATGACTCATTGAACAGTGAAACACAAAAGAAATATGAAGACAGTGTACGACCAGGGGAATACTTCTAAATAGATGAAACTACACTACAAACTATTTCAGAAGTGATGGGTTTGGGCAACTCAGGTAAAAGCACTTTTATTCTATGTGAACTTAAACACACAGAAATATTATTCCCTCTCCTCTAGGTCTCTAGGTAAACTGGCTTAACTGCTGGTAAGTGGCTGGTTGGTTAGTTTGGAATGTAGGACTGGTTAGAAGGCTGTAGGACTCAGCCTTCAGACTCATCAGAGCCTTATAATTCCTCCTTGTTACAGGATGGTACAGGATGGTGGAGAATGTCAAATCACATGGGGGTGTCACAAACAGCAGCAGAGGATACTGAAGGAGCTCCCTGCCTTGAGATTCCTTATACTCTTAGAAGAGTCACACAGTTACTGTTTCCTATTCTTTGACAAACTACTTCAAGTCCCTTAAAAGCCAACAGAAGACGCTCCGATGCATTATTATGTAAGTTAAAATACAGTACCTTGAGCCAGCTCTTGAAGACAGAGTATATAAGTAAGGCCTTCACAAACTTTGGTAGTTGCTCAGCAACACCTTGTCATGCTACATCATACAATAACATCTTGTTATTTCCCTGGCTAAAAGTCAAAAAACATCTTTCGAAGAGAATAAGTGATGAAACTCCCAGATCCAGCTATCTCAGGAATAACCCACACCTCTATTCAGGGAACCTTCCAAGCAGCAAGACATGCTGCAATTTCTCAAGGATGCCAAGTCTTCATTCTTTGTAATTACTGTATCGTGACACAGGAGAGGCTGTGGATGCCCCATCCTTGGAGATGTTCAAGGCCAAGACAGACAGAGCCTCTGGATCTGTACATCTAGTACTTGACTTAGTGGTTGGCAGCCCTGCCCACAGTAGGGAGCTGGAACTGAATCATCTTGAGGTCCCTTCCAACCCAAGCCATTCTACAATTCTATGAAGAACAGCTTCATTGATATGTCAGATTCCTTTGCATAAATTCATCTTCCCCTGTAACATATCTGAGAAACCATCAGTATGAGGTACCAATGCCTCACTTCTTCGTATCTTCCATATGCTACAACGCTCCTATAATTCATAAAAAGAGCCAAACCGATCAAGTTATAGACAGCAACGCTGGCAGCTGCAGTTATCTATTTTAATCTGATCAATTACTTCTTCCTTTTTATAAAATACTTTAACATTCATACGATTTTACTGCAACTTGAAGTAAGGAAAATTGTCAGAAATCTTCCCTCTAGCAACTCTGCATGGAGCAATCCTGTTCTGCATGAAGACACCATTTTTTGTCCTGCACTGAAAAGTCAGGATGTTCTCAGCTCCTAACATCAGATTTCATCACCTTCACATAGCACAGAGTCAAGCTTTGTTTACTGGTTTTATTTACAGAAGCAATTCAAAATTTTCATAGAACCACAGAACATCCAGAATTGGAGGGAACCCCCATGGATCATTAAGTCCAAATTCTAACTCCATACAGAACCACCCAAATCTCAAAGCCCGTATCTGAGAGCATTCTCTGGGCTGAGCAATCCAAGGGACCTCAGTCACACTTCATATGTCTTGCTCTCCAGACCCTTAACCATCTTCATAGCCCTCCACTGGATGCTCTCCAATAGTTTTACGTCTTTCTTACATTGTGGCACCCAAAACTGTACACATTTTAACTGTCCAGAAAAAGCAAAGCCACGCAACATCCCATCCTCTCAAAGAGTGATTCAAGTTCCTCCGTGCAGAAAACTAGCCTGTTATCCTTGGTGGCCCAGTTTTACACAACTATCAACATTATACCCATTTCTTGGAGTTGCCTTGGGCAGACAGCCAAAGAATGAAAACTAAGACTGAAATTATCAGTATGCACTACATCATCTATGTGGTTTCTCTGCTGAATATTGATCCATCTTCTCCTTACCTCATCTTCCCACCTTTCCATCCTACATATCCCACATATCTGTCCTCCCCTCTGACTACTGTCATAGAATCACCAAATTGGAAAGGACTCTCATAGGTCATATAGTTCAGCTCCCCTGCAGTGAACAGGGATACCTACAGCTACATCAGGTTACTCAGAGCCTGGTCCAGCCTGACTTTGGATGTCTGCAAGGACAGGGCATCCATCATCTCTCTGGGCAACCCGTTCCACTGCCTTTTGTTAGAAGTTTGCTCCTTGGAGTTTTCATGCTGGGCTAGGCACTGCAGACAAACACAAGAGGGACACAGGCTTTGGTTGGCATCAGGAGGAACAACACTTTTGTATGGAGAAATTACCAACAACTCTGCCTACCTAAGGGTTTTTTAAGCCATCATGTATATAACTCACATGATGTTAGTGTAGGAATATCATGGTAAAGAACTGTAATGTAAGGGGTGGGTTTTTCCTGTTTCTATGGTTATAAGCAATTTTAATGACCAACCTAAATAAAAAACCTGGAAAAGAGAGAAAGTAGGAAGGAGTGAGGTAGGCGTATAATTTTGATTGACAAGGCAAAGCATAACTAGTTAAGACCTGTCAAATGTCTGCTTAAGATCACAAATCCTCAGCACATTGTATGGCAGACAGAATTAGCCTAAATGCACAGCTTTACAAAAATGTTTCCTACCCAGCAAGATCACAGTTCATGATTTCAGTTTCCCCTCACTGAGCATCTGATACAATCAATACTAAGGAAGTCAGAGGACAAAAAAAAAAAAAAAAAAAAAAAAAAACCATACCATTTTCACCATTTGTAAGATTTTCAAGTGCTACCATACTATGACAGCCTAACTTTTCCTGGCCAAAAAAAAAAATAACATAGAATCACAGAATGGCTTAGGTTGGAGGGGAACTTAAAGATCATCTAAAGACGGAGTTAAATCCAGCTGGTGACTGACCACAGTTGGTGTTCCCAGGGGTCAGTAGTGGGGCCTGACCCGTTCAATATCTTCATTGATGATCTGGATGAGGACGGAGTGTACTTTCAATAAGTTTACAGATGACACCAAGTCGGCAGGAAGGATTGATCTGCCTGATGGTAGGAGGGCCCTACAGAGGGATATGGACAGGTTGGATCAATGAGCTTAGGCCAATGGGATGAAGTTCAACAAGACCAAGTGCCAAGTCCTTCACTTTGGCCACAACAACCCCAGGCAACGCAACTATTGGAGCAGTGGCTCGAAGTCTATGCAAACAGATCTGGAGGTGTTATATGATGGCTGGCTGACCATGAGCCAGCAGTGTGCCCAGGTGGCCAAGGCCAATTGCAACTTGGCTTGTATCAGAAGTAGTGACGCCAGTAAGAACAAAAGAACGAGATTTGAGGAAAAGTAAGGGCAGCCCTACAAATGTTCTCTGGTTATGTATCAAGAGGAAAGAGCAACGGGCAATAAACAGACATGGAATATTCCAAAGTCAGAAGTCATGAATGATCGTAGAATGAAACTGGGTATAAGGCAGCACATGAAAGGCTCTTGAAGATGAATCCAGTTCATATTTAATGATACTAAGATGCAACAAAGGACTGACACAAAGACAACACAAGACACCCATGAGCAAAGCTAGAAATGTATTTTGTCTTTTACTTGCCCATCACCTTTGAGATGCAAGCAGGACACAGTGATCTTCAGAGTTATATATTCATTAGAGCATTTACAGATCACTACTTTTTAAGTTTCTATGTTTTCTTGTAATGTCTTAGAACACCCTGCTATCTTATCAAATGCTGTTTCATTTTTAAAAAGGGGAAAAATAAGCAAATAGGATGGGGTTATGAAGAAGGGAAGTCAACAGCTCCTGAGATGC